AAAAAAAAAAAAAACCTTTAGGGGAAAATGATCAGGGCTAGAAACATTACAATAACTAGCTTCAAAACATATTACTATAAAGGCTACGGGTGTAACTTAGAGCTAACATGTAAGAGACTTTGGGTTCACCCCCATATACCCTGGGCTCATTCCAAATACTACAAACAAAATAATACAAAACACTCCCACTAAGCAACAGTAACCAAATCAGCATGGTACTGACATATAGCTCAAAGGAAAAAAAAATGACAACTCAGACACAAACCCATGTATTGACAGTCAAGTAATTATTTGGTGTGTGCCAGAACTGGAGTTTGAATTTAGGTATTAGATGCTGTCCCTTAGCTTTTTTCTTTTTTTTGGTCTGGTCGTGTGGCCTGAACTCTGGGCCTGGGCGCTGTCCCTCAGCTCTTCAGCTCAAGGCTAGCACTCCACCACTTGAGCCACAGCACCACTTCCGGCTGTTTTTTGCTTATGTGGGGCTGAGGAATCGAACCCAGGGCCTTGAGCATGCAAGGCAAGCGCTCTACCACTGAGCCACCTTCCCAGCCCCGTCCCTTAGCTTTTTTCATTCAAGGCTAGTACTCTACCATTTGAGCCACAGGTCTACTTCTGGTTACATGGAATTAAGAGTTTCATAGGACTTTTCTGTACTGACTTGCTTTGAACTGAAATTCTCAGATCTTAGCCTCCTGAGTAGGTATGGATACAGGCCTGAGCCACCAGTGCCCATCTTGGCAAATGACTTGACAAAGGTATCATAACCATAATGATTGAGGAAAGTCTCTTCACCAGGTGTTAGGAAAAAGATATCCATATATAAAAAAAAACAAAAACAAATCTACACTATTTCCTATTACCATATACAAAAATTAACTGAAATAGATCGAAGGCTTAAATATAAGACCTGAAAATGCAAAACTACTAAAAAAAAATGGCATAGGGAAAACTTCAGGGCATTGGTCCAAGTGGTGACCATTTGGGTTTTTTAAATTTATTTTTTGCCAGTCATGGGGCCTGAACTCTGGGCCTGGGCACTGTCCCTCAGCTCTTCAGCTCAAGGCTAGTGCTCTACCACTTGAGCTACAGTGCCACTTCTGACTTTTTCTGCTTATGTGGTGCTGAGGAATTGAACCCAGGGCCTCATGCATGCAAGGCAAGCACTCTACCACTGAGCCACCTTGCCAGCCCCATAAGTGGTGACTTTTTGGATATGACCCAAAAGGACATTAAACAAAGCAAAAACTGACAAAAGTGATTCTATCAAGGTAGAAAGATTCTGTACAGCAAACAATCAGCAGAATGAAGACAAAACCTATACAATAAGAAAAATATTTACAAAGTACTGATCAGATAAGGGATTCCTTTCCAGAATATATGAAGAACTTAAACAGCTCAACAGCAAAAACAACAAATAATCTGGACAAATGGCAAATGTGGTTTAGTGGTAGAGTACATTCCTAGCATGCATGAAGCTCTGCGTTTGATTCCTCAGTACTCAGTATCATATAAACAGAAAAGGCTGGAATTGGTGCTGTGGCTTAAGTGGTAGAATGCTAGCCTTAAGCAAAAGAAGCTCAAGGACAGTGCCCAGGCCTGAGTTCAAGTGCCAGGACTAACAAAAACAAACAAACAAAAACAACTAGGCAAATGACATTTATCAGAGAACAGATAAATAACCAACAAGCATATGAAAACATGCTCAATGTCACTAATCAGTCACTGGGGAAATACAAATCAAAATCAAAGATGCAGGGCTGGGAAGGTGGCTCAGTGGTAGAGCGTTTGCCTTGCATGCATGAGGCCCTGGGTTTGATTCCTCAGCACCACATAAGCAAAAAGAAAAAAGCCGGAAGTGAAAAAAGCCGGAAGTGGCACTGTGGCTCAAGTGGTAGAGCGCTAGCCTTGAGCTGAAGAGCTGAGGGACAGCACCCGGGCCCAGAGTTCAGGCCCCACGACTGGACCCAAAAAAAAAAAAAAAGATAATTTAAAAAATAAAATTAAAAATTAAAAAAAAAATCAAAGATGCAGTTCAATTTTACAAAATTAAAACCATTTCAGAGATGGATGGTGACACTAACTGCACAATATGTGAATGTACTTAACACTGAACTGTACACATTTAAAAATGATTAAAGTGAGCCAAGTGCTAGTGGCTTATGCCTGTAATCCTAGTTAATCAGGAGGATGAGATCTAAGGATCACAGTTCAAAGCCAGCCTAGGTTGGAAAGGCTGTGAGACTCTTATCTACAATTAACCACCAGAAAACCAGAAGCAGCACTGTGGCTCATGTGGTACAGCACTCCCTTGAGCTGAAGAGTTCAAGACAACTCCCAGGCCCATAGTTCAAACCCCACAACTGACAGAGGGAAGAAAAAGAAAAACAAAAAAGATTTAAAGTGATTGTACATCTGTGAGGTATATTTTATCATAATAATTTTTAAAAATGAAATACTAATAAATGCCACAATGTGGAAAAATCTTGAAAAAATTTTACTAGGTGAAGGTGAAATAAGCCAGAAACAAGATTGTATGACTGCATTTATATGAATTTTTCAAGCAGGAGATTTAGAAGATGTTGATTAGTGCTTACCAATGGCTACAGGAAGGACAAGTAGGCAATGATTGCTAACGGATACAAGCAAGGTTTCTTTTTGGAGTAAGAAAAGTTCTGCAGCCAGACAGGGATAGTGGTTGTATAACCTTATGAATACATTGTTAACTACTGAGGAGTATACTTTAGGAGTAAACTTTATAGTATATGTATTATATATCAATAACATTGTTATTTAGGGGCTGGGAAGGTGGCTCAGTGGTAGAGCGCTTGCCTTGCATGCCTGAGGCCCTGGGTTCGATTCCTCAGCACCACATAAACAAAAACAAAAAAGCCGGAAGTGGTGCCCAGGCCCAGAGTTCAGGCCCCACGACCGGACCCCCCCCAAAAAAAAAGGACAAGAAAATTGCACTGAGCTGGAGAAATGAGTCAAGTGGTAGAATTCATGGCTAGCAAGTTTCAGGCTGTGTTCAATGAAAAAAGAAGAAAAACATATGAAAAATTACACTTATATGTATGTGTATTAAAACATAATATGCAATAAAACCTTTAAAAAAGTATGAAAAAAAAAGTGACCACTGAATATATAGTCCTACAAAACAAAGTTGAAGTGTTGTGTGTTGTTTTATTTTGTCAGTGGTGGGGCTTGAACTCTGGGCCTGGATGCTGTCCCTGAGCTTTTCAGCTCCAGGCTAGGGTTCTACCACTTGAGCCACAGGGCCACTTCCAGTTTTCTGGTGGTTAATTGGAGATAAGACTCTCCAGTTTCCTGCCCCAGCTGGTTTTGAACTGTAGTCTTCAGATCTCAACCTTCTGAGTAGCTAGGATTACAGGCATGAACCACTGGTACCCAGAAGTAAAGTGTTTTTTAGTTTGACACATTTTTGGAAATAAGGTTAACTACACACAAGTATTTTTGATGGGCTAGGAATGTGGGTTCGTGGTAGTACGCTTGCCTAGCATGCAGGAAGCTCTGGGTTAGATTCCTTAGTACCACATAAATAGAGAAAGCCAGAAGTGGCACTGTGACTCAAGAGTGCTAGCCTTGGGCAAAAGAAGCTCAGTGACAGTGCTTAGACTGGCAAAAAGAAAAAAACAAAAAACAAAACAAAACACAATAGCAAAAAGTACTGAATTTCTAATGTGCTTTTTAAGTAGCTAGAGAATAAATGGAAAAAGCTATTTTCTCTATTCTTTTTTTGCTTACCAGGTATGACTTCTGGGTAGCCAATTTTCTTTCCCAACTTTTTCAATGCAGAATTTCTGTGGCCCATTGCTCCCTAAAACATAATACAAATCATTTTATTAGTTCAAAAGTTCTCAAATCGTGCTCCCAAACCCAGGAACACCAGCATCACCAACTCATTACTGCAATAGGTTTTTCCTATCTCCAGGTTCTCCCCACGTTTAACTCTGTGCTACATGTCTTGCTGTCAAATCTCCCTAAAATATAGCATCAGCAAGTTTCCTTTCTTCATAGTTTGCATAGCTTCCAAATACCAAAAGGATAATATCCAAAATCATTTAATCTGGTTTTTGAAGTCTTTGTTAGGGGCTGGTCTGAACCCTGTATCTGAAAGCACCTACTTAGTTTTCTCTTTTTGACTGCTTCACCTGAACCAGTCCTAGAGTCAGTCTTTCATAAGTTTTATACATATTTATCTAACAGCAGTACAAGGAAAACTTTCTGAATAAGAAAAGTGACACTAAACATACCCATGAGGTCAGCAAATCCTCCTACTGGCAATCGGCAAGTTCCAGTAACAAATTGCAGAAGTCTCATTCTCTTCTCATTATCAATTTCTTTAACAAACTGTTAAAAATCACGTTTAAAAAGATATATAGATCATATATTAAATTTAGCTCACTGAACAAGAAAGAAAAGTGATCATTTCATTCAAATGAATGTCTAGGGTCAAACCTTCCCCTATGTAAAACTTAGAATAACCTCCTCAAAGAATGACATAGGCCTAAGAAGCACCTAACTCATGGAGTTTGAAAATTAGCTACTCTGGAGTGGCCTTCTTCTTTGTTTATCCCACAGGACATTTATATAGTTACATAGAACATGGAGATTGGATCTTTATAGGCTGTTTTGCTTTTATGAAAAAAATGAAATCAAGCTCACAGAATTCTGTTCCATATATAAGCCAATAACTTCCTTTTTCAAAGTTCTTTGGATTTCTGGTATATCTACATGTGGCCAAAAATTGCTAGACTTAATTTCCTACAATTCCGATTCCTAAACATTAGATTTCTGGACAATTTCTATCCTACAGCACAATATTTTGACTCAACCAAGTATTTTAAAATGCCCTTTTCTTTTTTCTTCTTCTTTCTTTCTAATGCCAGTATTGGGGCTTGAACACAGGGCCTGAACATTGTCCTTTACCTTTTTCATTCAAGGCTAGCATTCTACCACTTTAGCCACATCTAAAGATAAAAGAGTCTCATGGACTTTTCTGCCTTAGTTGGTTTCAAATTGCAATCCTCAGATCTCAGTCTCCTGAGCAGCTAGGATTACAGGTGTAAGACATGGAGCCCTGGTATAAAATGCTAAATATAACTACAGAAGCTCAGTTTACTTTTGAGTTTCTCATTCTCTCTCTCTCTCTCCTTTTTTTTTTTTGTCAGTCATGGGGCTTAGAACCTCAGGTATCAGTTGAGTAGGTAGCACTAGTGCCTGACTGAACATTTGGTAATTCTTAATGTATAAATGATCACAAAAACCATAGTATAATTGCATAAGATAGCAAGAGCATATGAAATGCCTAGTCATTTAGAAGGCTAAGATCTGAGAATCTTTATTTATTAGTTTATTTACTTACTTACTTATTTAATTGTTGGTCCTGGGGCCTGAACTCTGGGCCTGAGCACTGTCCCTCAGCTCTTCAGATCAAGGCTAATGCTCTACCACTTGAGCCCACCACTTCTGACTTTTACTGCTTATGTGGTGCTGAGTAATCAAACCTAGGGCCTCATGCATGTAAGGCAAGCACTCTACCACTGAGCAACCTTCCCAACCCAGAATCTTAATTTTGTTGTTGTTGTTGTTGGTCGTGGGGCTTGAACTCTGGGCCTGGGCGCTGTCCCTCAGCTCTTCAGCTCAAGGCCAGCGCTCTACCACTTGAGCTACAGCGCCACTTCCGGTTTTCTGGTGGTTTATTGGAGATAGGAGTCTCATGGTCTTTCCTGTCCAGGCTGGCTTTGAACCACGATCCTCAGATCTCAGCCTCCTGAGTAGCTAGGATTACAGGCGTGAGCCACCAGCACCAGGCCAGAATCTTAATTTTTGAAGGCAGGCCTGGCAATGTATCTGAGATTCCTATCTCCAACCAGCAAGCAAAAGGCTGGAAGCAGAGATATGGATCAAGTGGTAGAGTGCTTGCCATGAGCAAAAAAGATAATTGAAAGCCTGAGTTCAAGTCCTAGTATAGACAAGTGTGTGCATGTGTACTCATACCCCTACACCTCCAAAAAGTTAGTAAGACGCCATCCCCATCAATAATTGGGGTATGGTGGGATGTGCCTATGAACTCAGCTGCACAGAAGGCTGCATATAGCAGGCTCATGGTTCCAGGCACACCACGGGCAAACAGTGACACCCTGTCTGAGAAATAACTAAAGCAAAAAAGGACTGGGGGAGTGGCTCAAGTGGTAAAATATTTGTTTAATAAGTATAAAGGCCTTTCAAACCCTATCTGCCAAAAAATTAAAAAAAAATTAAAGTAACTTAATAAATTTAGAAACAAACCTGCCAAAACCACATGATTTGTTTGCTTGTCCTAGTGTAATGGCGGTAGATAGCATGTCTTTGCCAGTCATTCAAATCAATCTCTTGCATTCCACATAAAAGTACCTTTAAACATGAAAAAGACAAGTCATTTCTTTAGGTAATGTACAAAAAAAATGCCTGATATATTTAAGAAAAGTCTGATATTAAATATAACTTTGGAAAAATACTAGTTAGCATGGTTTGGCTTATAAACTGTACATCAAGAATTATATGGATATTTAGAAAAGAAACTTTCATGCATGGTGTCATATATACAAGTATTCAGGGAATTCAGTCTTACAATTGCAGCGTAGCCTTAATAGAAATATTTTTTTTCTTTAAATATTGAGTGTGGCATAGATCATTGTTTTACCCATTGAGGATACTTCCAAACATCTTGACAACATAAAAACTACTGCCATTCAGAGGATGGACAAAATAAATTGAAAGTAGAATCTAAGGTATTATTTGCTGTCATGTTACAGAATTATAGATGCATGTACATGTACACACATACATGTACACACATACATATACACAAAGACATTACCTCTAATTCCTTTGCATCGAAGTACTGCAAATACTGCTGGGGAAGAATTTCATTAAAGCCCTCAAAGAAAGCTTGTGTCTGTTCTTCAACTCCTCGAGACAACCTCCATTCAGCCACCATTCTGGCAGAAAAATATGAAAAATATGAAAAAAGCTATCAGCAACTTTAGAATTTACCATTCATTTCTGGAAATAATTTTTTTTGGGTCCGGTTGTGGGGCCTGAACTCTGGGCGCTGTCCCTCAGCTCTTCAGCTCAAGGCTAGCGCTCTACCACTTGAGCCACAGCGCCACTTCTGGCTTTTTTCTTTTTGCTTATGTGGTGCTGAGGAATCGAACCCAGGGCCTCAGGCTTGCAAGGCAAGCGCTCTACCACTGAGCCACCTTCCCAGACCCATGGAAATAATTTTTTTTTGGGTGGGGCTTGAAGTCTGGGCCTGGGTGCTCTCCCTGAGCTCTTTTGGTTTTCTGGTGGTTAATTGGAGATAAGAGTCTCATGGGCTCTCCTTCCTGGGCTGGCTTTGAACCACGATCCTCAAGATCTCAGTCTCCTGAGTAGCTAGGAATGCAGGTGTGAGCCATCAGTGCCTGGCTGAACTCTGGCTTGGGCACTGTCCCTTGGCTCTTTAGCTCAAGGCTGGCACTCTACCACTAGAGTCACAGCTCTACTTCTGGCTTTTTCTGCTTATGTGGTGCTGAGGAATCAAACCCAGGGCCTCATGCATGCAAGGCAAGCGCTCTACCATTGAGCCACCTTCCCAGCCCCTGATTTTGTTTTTTTAATGGCAGCACTGGGGTTTGAACTCATAGCCTCAAGGCTCAGCTGCTTAATTCATAGCTGGTGTTCTACCACTGAAGCCATACCTTCTCTATCTGGCTTTTTTCTGGCTCACTGGAATAAGAGTCTTATGGGTTTATTTGCCTTGGGCTGGCTTTGAGCCTCCTGTGTGAGCCATCAGTGAATAGCTTTGTACAGAGTGTGTGTGTGTGTATGTGTGTGTGCGCTTTGAGCCTCTTGTGTGAGCCATCAGTGAATAGCTTTGTACAGAGTGTGTGTGTGTGTGCTGAGCCTCCTGTGTGAGCCATCAGTGAATAGCTTTGCACAGAGAGAGAGAGAGAGAGAGAGAGAGAGAGAGAGAGTGTATGTGTGTGTGTGTGTGTGGTGTGTGTGCGTGCGCGCCAGGTCTTGGTGCTTGAACTCAGGGCCTGGGTGCTGCTCCTGAGCTTTTTCTGCTCAAGGCTAATAGTCTACCACTTTGAGCCATAGCTCCACTTCCAGGTTTCTGGAATCTCATGGAGACAAGCACTGGTAACTCATGCCTATAATCCTAGCAACTCATGAGGCTGAGATCTGAGGATTTGAGTTCAAAACCAATCTGGGTAGGAAAGTTAATAAGACTCATCTCCAATTAACCACCAAAAACTGGAAGTAGAGTTGTGGCTCAAAGTTGTAGAGCAGTAGATTTGAGCAGAAAATCTCAAGGAAAGCACCCAGGCCCTGAGTCCAAGCCTCATAACCAACCAAAACCAAAAAAGTCTCATAAACTTTCCTGCCCAGACTGGTTTTGAACCTGGATCCTCATATCTCAGCCTCCTAAGTAGCTAGATTGCAGGCATGAGCTACTGGGGTCCAGCTTCTACTTCAAAAGAAAATTAAAAAAATAATTAGAAAGGGGAAAACTATACGGAATAACTTATTAATACGTGGGTGAGCACACACACATACACAATGTGAATCAAAGAAATCCTGTGGAAAGCAACAAGACATAAGCAGAAACTTCTGCAGCTACCTTATACTGGAAAGACAGAACTTAAACATTTACATCTCATAAAATTATAGGAATAAGAGATATTTTAGAACTAAAGGCAAAATGGAAATAGAGCAGTCCCACTAAACTTGTAAAGGATAAAGTGATCTATTATTTAACGGTCTGTCGGAACAATAGAAGCACAACACATATATCCCAGGAAAATGACTCAAAGTCTTGAGAACAAAGTTTATAGAGTAAGGCTTAGTTGTAATACTGAAGTTAGCAAATGAAGACTTAAAAGTAGCTTTTTAAAAAAGGAATCAAATATATAGAGGAAAGAGCTGGGGTGTCTGTATAAAGTGGAGTACTTGCCAAGCACTGGTGGCTCATGTCTATAATCCTTTCTACCCAGGAGGCTGAGATCTAAGGATCCAGGTTTGAAGTAGGTAGTCAAGTACATGAGAGTCAAATCTCCAATTAACCACCAAAAAGTCAGAGGTGAAGCCATGCCTCAAGTGGTAGAGCATCAGCCTTGAGCTATAAGGCTCAGGGTCAGCACCTAGGTCCTGGGTTCAAGCTCCATCACCAGCACACACCAAAAAGTTTCAACTATGACCTAGCAGTACTGCTCTTGAGCATCTGCCCATTACAAGACAGGATACAGTAAAGACACTTGCACAGCCATGTTAACTGCTGCTCTAGTCACGATAGCCAAATTATGAAAATAGCCCAAACACCCAACAACAAATGGATCAAGAAAATGATATATGCATCAGACATATATATACATCATAAATATATGATATATATACATACATACACACAATGGAATTTTACTCATTAATTAGAAAGTATATACTTTTTGGGGAAAATGGGTGGGCCTAGAAAAATTATGTTAAGGGAAGTGAGCCAGGCTCAGATACAAACAGTGCATGTTTTCTTTCATTATGTTAGATGGTTATTTTAGGGTAGGAGTTCAACTAACAAATCATTTAATAAAAGGAATACCAGACAGGCACTGGTGGCTCATGCCTATAATCCTAGCTACTTACAAGGATGAGCCTGGGTAGTAAAGTCCCAATTAACAACCATAAAAGCTGGAAGTGGAACTATGGCTCAAGTAGTAGAACACTAGCTTTGAACAAAAAAACTCGGGGCTGGGAAGGTGGCTCAGTGGTAGAGTGCTTGCCTTGCATGCATGATGCCCTGGGTTTGATTCCTCAGCACCACATAAGCAAAAAGAAAAAAAAAAGCCAGAAGTGGTGCTGTGGCTCAAGTGGTATAGCGCTAGCCTTGAGCTGAAGAGCTGAGGGACAGTGCCCAGGCC